GCTGGTAGACAACAACAAGAAGATGAAGACAGCGGTGGTTTCGGTGAACCGGCAGCAGCGTCGGATTCCAGTCGGAGGAAAGGGGCTCAGAATACCATACGGAGATTGACCCGTGCGGTGCGGAAGGGACGCCTGGAAGACGCCGAGAGGCTGCTGGCGGAAATTGCGCATGACGAGGAAATGGAGCTGGATGTCAAGCTTTGCAATTATGCCCTTCATTCTTGTGCGTCTGCAAAAGATGCCACGGTCAGTTGAAAGAAAATCATCTATTGAACAAAAAAAATAAAAATAAAAAAAATGTTTGTTTTTCGTGCGTAGTTACAAAACGTAATGAATGAACTTGGCCGTGAGGACGAAATGGAGCTTATCGATGTGAAGCGTTTCTTCCTTTTTTTTTTGTGTTAGCGGAGGAAAAGAAAGAGATGTAAATCACAACGTATAAAATCATCCCCTCCCCCCCGCGGTCCCCCGCCCCGCTCCCCCCCCCTAAAAAAAAAAAAAACCAAAAAAAAAACCATATCAATGCAGCGCCTCATGTCAAGCGCTTTTGTCGTCCCCTGGAGCGAGGTCCCAAGAGGATTGGATTAAGCTCCTGCATCTGGATGCATTTTCCGCAGAGATGCAGAAAAGCCGTCCAATCTCGATATTTTTTCTGCAGCTTTGCACTAACACGTCCAGATTCAGGCATTCAATCCGATCCTATTTGCTGGGCTTTAGCTCCGTTGGTACACCCCTGAACGAACTGTTGAAATACAGACCTACCTCAAATTCGAATCCAGCTACAATTAAAAAAAAAAAAAAATCCAGCGACAATCATATGAATATAATATATGAATAAGACGAAATAACTCCGAATTACCTGGGGCCGGTCAAGTCAATGATGATATCTCATGGCCGTCGCCGTTTTTTTGGAAAAGGGAGAAAGAAAAAAGAAGGAAAAAAACAGAGCGGCAACAGCTTCCACGAATTTTTATTTCAGTGCGCAAATTCAGCGCTTTTATCATCTCGTGTATATGGGCCTCGCTCTAGCCTGTGAAAAATGAAAGGGAATTTTTTTTTTCGAAATGCCCCTCCGACTTCCATTTATTTTGCGCTATGCCCCTCTGAAGACCGACTTGCAGGTTATCAGTTGACTCCCTATAGGATTTTGCTAGCTAGCTAGATATATAGAACCCTCTGTAGGACTACAGTCTTCCCCCGAATACAACGTACGGTCATTATAGCTGAATTTGGTCCATCTTTCTGTCTAAATTCAGCTATAATGACCGTACGTTGTATTCGGGGGAAGACTGTAGATAGAGTAGGCTGTAGCTCTACGAACTACGCAGCCAGCCAACGAGCTGCTGGGTCTGTAGGAAAGACCTGCAGGCTTTTATTTTAGCCTGTGAGCTAAGCTGGATGATGCTTCCAGATATATCTGATCTGAACCGGGAAGTAATGTAGAGGACCCCGGCCTCTGAATGATTTTGTGTAATTGAAACTGAATTTTGAGAAGAAAAAAAAAGAAAAAAAAAAGACCGACTTACCCACTCGTGCCCCTCTGGCAACGATTGAAGTTTCCGAAAAACCCCTCGCGTCGTTTGGGCCTGAAATATGTTCAATATGCCGCTACGGGTACCGGTTCCGAATTTCCAGTATGCCCCGCCCGGTAGCTCCCCTCCCAGGGCCAGGGGAACGGCCGCGAGTGGCACCAACGGCCACAGGGGGGCATGCAGGAAAGTTGCACCCCTCATTGGCAGGGGCCTGCAGGAAACCTCAAAGGCCCCAGGGGCACCACAGGGTAGGTCGGCCGTCGGAGGGGGCATACCGCAAATAAATGGAAGTGGGAGGGGCTTTTCGAAAATTGTCCGAAAATGGAAATGTGAAAAATGAAAGAGCTGAATCATCTGTTAGAACATGAATATGAAAAATGAAACTGAATCCTTGCGCTAGAACATGGAAAGATGCATTCCCCTACTTTGTCTTTTGTGCATGCGGAGAGAGAGTAGTTGAGCGAGGCCCTATTATGGCTTTCTTCATCTATTGCCTTTGCTTCTCCTGCCATCTTTCGAATCATTCGCTAGAACATGGAAAGATACACGACGAACACGACGATCATCTGTTTCCTTGCATGAATCTTTCCTGCTCTCTGTTTTGTATTCATTCGTCTTGCTCGATATCTTCTCTCCCTTCCCTCTCCCTCATCTCCCCTCCTCCCCTTCCCTCGCTCCTTTTCTCCTTCGGGCTTTATCCTTTTTCTTTTCCTTTTTTTTTTTTTTTAATGTATGGGTTGCTTCGAGATTATCTCCAAGCCTACCTGTGTCGATCTACTGGATACCGACTTTGTTGGATCGCTTTCTCCCTCCTACCCTTGTTCACCCNCTTCGAGATTATCTCCAAGCCTACCTGTGTCGATCTACTGGATACCGACTTTGTTGGATCGCTTTCTCCCTCCTACCCTTGTTCACCCGAATACATACCCTTGTTCACCCGAATACAGCGTACGGTCATTATTGCTGTATTTAGACTGAAAGATACCCAAAATCATGCAGAGGGGTAGCATGTGTTGGTTGCCCTGTTCCATCTGCCAGTCGTTCACAACCATTCAAAGGCCGCAGCAAGCTTTATTTATTTATTTTAATTTATTTTTAATTCAAGAATTAAATTTGTATTTCAAACTGAAGAACCATGAGACCGGGAATCTTCACAAACAACCAGGGAAATGCTGCTCCCCCTCCCCCCCCCCCCCCCCCCCCCCCCCCCCACACACACACACACCATCACACCCAGCTTCCGGACCACCCCCTTGAGCTCAGAGGTGGACCATTCATCAAATAATCAATAATTTAATATTATAAATTTATAATCTAGGCTACCAGAGTGGCCCGGGACCACTTGCCCGGCCGGATCAGGCAAAAAAAAAGAAGAAGTAAAACAATTATTTTTTATTTAAAATTTGGTAAGGAATTTCGATGTGACCCTGAGGCAAAAGTTGTTCAGTTTATTTTTTTGCATAACATTTTTTTTTTTTTGGCTTTTTTGCTGGGACCTTCTTTGGCCCTTGCACGGCCGGGCCGCCCGGGCAAACAAGGTGATCCGGGCGGCCCAGAGGGTGGCCTACTTTATATTATAATATAATAATTAATAATTATATATCAAGAGGTTATGAATTAGGAAACTACGGGTATACTTACTCACACTAGGCCCTCAAAATCCCAAAATTGCAAAATGAGCGGTCCAAAGGACTCTTATCTGGCCGGTGATTTTGCATGCCTGTGAGTATGCCCTACCAAGCACGGGTACTATGGACGGGATTAGGAAAAAAAAAAAAAAACTTCGATACTCACACCAGGTCCTCAAAATCGCAAAATCCCAAAACGAGTGGCCATATCTCGTCCTTCCTTTACAGGGACTAGATCTGGGCGCTCATTTTGTGATTTTGCGAGTTTGGGGGCCTAGTGTGAGCTTGCTCTTACTGTGTTACGAATTGGCCCGCCCGGTCCCCCGGGTTGCCCGGGCGGCCCGGCTGGGGAAGGGGTAAGGAAGGTCGCGGAAAAAATAACAATAAAAGAAACGAAAAAAAGACTATGTTGTGCTGAAAAATAAACTGAACAACTTTTGCCTCAGGGTCGGATAGAAAGTCTCTGCGAAATTAGAAATAAAAATAATTATATATTTTTTAATTAATTTTCGGCCCGGCCATGGTCCAGGGCCACTCGGGCGTTGCCTCGTCTGTATTGATCGTCTGCTGACATGGCCCCTGGGGTTGATTGGTGGTTGGGTGATGGGAGGTGGGTGGTGGATGGTGGGTGGTGGGTGGTTCGTGTGTTGTGTGCATGGCAGAGGGCGCAAACACTGCTTGCGATAATGAAGAAGAAGAACATCCAGCTGGACTCCATATCCTATGGCTGTCTGCTACGCTCGTTCTGCCGCGCAGGAGCTCTGGATAAGGTACACGTCAGCCCGACACGACCACTCTAAGCTTTAAGTCAGAGGGCCTGTCAGTCTGTGAGATTCTTCTTGTTGGGAATATGCCACCGGCAATGACCCCGTCAATTATGAGAAGCTTCACAAATCCGTCATGCAAGTGTTCCCCAATGAACTCAAAGGGGAACTACTCGCAAAGCAGAACAAGTCCAGAGTCATTGAATTTAGTCACAGAATAAGCAGGGAGTTACCCGAAGAGAGAGAGAGAGAGAGAGAGAGAGAGAGAGAGACACAGAGAGAGAGAGGGAGAGAGAGAGAGAGRGGGGGGGGGGGGGGGGGGGGGAAGGGGAGGGGACAGTTTCATTAATTAATCATTAATTAATAATCAATAGCAGCTCTTCCACACGTCTGCATATATTCGATTCCGAAACTGGGAAATTCTTCCACCAACTGGCCACCTCAGCAATGCAAGTCTCTTCCTGAAAGTGGCAGATGAAGTCTTTCTGCAGGTAGCAGCTACGGCTCTCAACCTCCAGCATCAATGCTGGCTATGGAGGTTGGCGGCTGTCTTCTTCAGCCTCCTGATGTGACGAGCAGCAGCTCGAGTATCACCAGCGCCCAGGTAAGTCAAGGTAAGCTTCCCACTCTCTCTCACTCGCTCTCCACTCACAGTCCGATCGCCCTCCTCCTTGCTCTACCGGCCTCTATGCTGTAGCTATGGCGCTGGGCGGCCTTCCTAGCTATGACTACCATTCTCTCACACTCCTTTTGGGGATGGCGCTGTCTTCCTCTATCTGGTGCCAGCCTCTCACCTCTCCTTACGTCTCCCACCAGCACTCTCTGGCCACCAGTGCATGCAAGGCAGAATGAATGAACCGCTGGGGCTTGCCGCTCTTTTGTAGCGCTGACTGGCCTTGCCCAGGCCTCAGCTTGCGTCCTCCGAAGGTGGAGATTCTTCGATCTGGGCGGTTCAGATTTGTTGTCGGCCTCAGTATGCTTGGCCCCAGTATAGGCCCTTGAATCTTCTGAGAACAAATGCAGACAGTCTTTGGTTGCGCATCTGATCTATGGTTGTGGTCGACTGCTGAGTCGTTCTCACGTATCTGATATAGGGGCACAGGTTACCTTGACCGGACCTGGACCCTATACCTGTTGACCCTGGGACTTTTCTCTGACCCTTCTAAAGCGACCTTCTTCCCCCGAATACAACACACGGTCATTAAGGCTGTATTTGTGAGGTATCTTTCAGTCTTAGTACAACTATAATGACCGTTCGTTGTACTCGGGGGAAGAAGGTAGTGATGCAACTTTTGACCCCTGAATCTTGACTTGTACCAAAAGATACGACCTGGCCTATCTCTGTCCGGACTTTTGAACTCAGTTCATTGCAGACCAGACAAGTCAGGAAAGAAAAGGGAAAGAAAAAGGCAATCACCTTACTTGGATCCTTCATGTGTTATTATCCTGTCAATGCACAACCCAAAAAGAGACAATCCCAACTCAAAGGAAAGAAGATTGGAAGGAGAATGAGATGAGACAAAGGAAGTAGAAGAGAAGAAGGAGGTAAACACAAGCGGGAACTAATTCCATCTCTCCGTCAACTTGCCTCCACCATCTCTTCCCGTATCATCATCTCCATCATCATACTAAGTGTGAATGAATGAATGATAAACACCAACAATGAATGAAAGAGCCAGCATCAATCCATCATCTTACTAACAACGAATGAATGAATGATAAACAACAACAATGAATGGAAGATCCGGCATCAATGTTCGATTACTCCTTACTCCCAGCCTCACAAAGAGCCCTCCTTTGATCACCTACACCTCACCTCCTCTCTCCCTCGTGATGGCATCCAGCTATGGCGGAACATCAAAGCCTTCCTTGCAAAGGGCAACACAAATGTTCACATGCCCCCTCCAGCATCTACCGCCATGCCTACACCTCAGGATGAAGTCCATAACCCACCGTTACCCCCCTTCAGGAGCCTTCTTTTTCTTTTGTTTTTTTATTTGTATATTTTATATGAAGACAGGATTCAATTCAGGGGCCTTGTAGATGCAGCGCCAACCTTGGAGATGAAGATGCAAGGCCACCATGGCCAAAGGCGAGCCTGCTTCCCGGTTCTCATCTCCTCGCTCCTCCTTCTATCTCTACAACACCTCCATAGCCTAGCCAGAGGTCCTTGTACCTCTACTACACCTCCTTAGCCTAGCTGGAGGTCCTTCTTCCTCACCTCCGTACCCTAGGACTGCTTCTGCCTCCTCCCTACTACACCTACATAGCCATGGAGGTCTTCTTCATCACCCTCCAGGTCCACATTCTTCCTCCAGGAGTCTCGCCGCCTCTCCCTCTTGGCTGAGCAGCAGCATGACTGCTGGATGACTGAGCGGATTGCTCATTGCACCGAATGATATACTTCGCTGCCTCTGGCCTCCAGTACCTCCCAGCCGGGTACTTCCTGACTCTGCCCGCCTCACTTTTGGTGGGTGCACCACTTTCTTCACCTGAATAGAACTCCCAGTCATTATAGCTGTATTTGGGGCAAACTTTCAGTCTAGATACAGAGATAATTACCAGGCATTCTATTTGGGTGAAGACGGTGGGCCTACTGGGTGTTCCCCCCCCCCCCCCCCCATAGTTCGGATCCTTTTTTTTCCCCTCGCTAGCCTTCTCTGTATCGTTGCAATTTTAACGGATGCCGCAAAGGACACCATAGTTCGGATCCGAACTATTGTAGTGAGGATAAATAAAAGCACAATCCACGTCTGTTATGACCCTGGCCAATTTCGAAATACACATCCACTGAGAAGTACAATGCCATCCAATTGCAGAAAGAAATGAATGAACTTGAGAGGAGAGAGAGGAGTAGAAGAAGAAGAAGAAATGAGAAAGAAGAAGAAGAAGAAGTACACCAGCAAAGATGATGACAAGGCTCTTCTTCTTCGCCCAACAATCTCCTCCTCCTTATCTCCCCCTTCTCTTATTCATACAAGAAATAATAGTACAATGTTGAATGACTGGTCCAGAATCATGTCCGAGTCCCTTTTCTACTGCAGGTATCACTCAAGGTCCACCACAGCCATGGCCGCCTCTCCCACTCTTCATACACATGAAACGGTTTTCACCTTTTAGCAGTAGCGGATGCAGTACACAGGGTTCGATCCCTATACCTCACCCTACCTATGTACAGTATCTGTATAGATCCTGAGAATTGAACCTGGACCTGTGTATTCGCAGATAGTTGGTAGGTCTGTCGTAGGTCCATAGGCAGTAGGGGTTCGATCTGTAGGTCTATAGCGTAGAAGTCTTAGTGAGTTCCGGAAGCTTAGCTGTAGACCTTCTAGAAGGTAGGCAAGTGGCCAAGTGGTCAAGTGGCAAGGCAAGTGGTGGACTAAACCGCAGTGCAACAGCAGTACAACGTCGGTAGGATAGCGGTGAGTCCACAGTCAGTCAGCGGAAGGTCCAGTCTGTCCCAGTCCGGTCCAGCAAGTACCACAGGGGGACTGTGAGCACCAAGGGCCGATGGCAAAGGGCAGACAACGAGTTTCTGAAGTATAAATCAAGAGGCAGCGCCCAGCCATTSATTCATTCCTGCGTGAGCCATGCGGAAGCGCTGCCACAGCGACTTGTGCAAGGAGGTCTGCAGATGAGTCTGGAGGATGCAGTGGGCAAGAGAGAGGGAGTTAGCATAGCGATAGGTTAGATGCAGCGATAGCTGCCATAGCTGTAGTTAGTAGCGAGTGTGTGTGTGTGTTCGAGTGTTAGAGTGACGCGTGTGGGATATCCAGGGTGATCCAGTGCATGTGAACAGTGAGATGTTTGGGCGCTGAAGGCGCCATAGCCAATTGAGAGTGAACTCGTATCTGAAAGCCATATCTCTGAGTTTTGAGTGGGTGCATGTCGCCAGTATGCTGCGTTGCTGTTTACA